AAGATTTTAAAGTTTTCATCATATAGGTCCTTCACTTCTTTGGTTAAGTTACTTCCTAGGTATTTTTTTTGTGGGGCTATTACAAATGGAGTTACTTTCCTAATTTCAGCCATACTTTTCTCATTGTTGGCATGCAGAAAAGCCATTGATTTTGGGGGGTTAATTTTATACCCTGCTACTTTGCCAAAGTTTTGAATCAACTTGAGTAATTTGGGAGTGAAGTCTATGGGATTCTTTAAATACAAGATCATGTCAACTGCAAAGAGGGAGAGTTTTATTTCTTCTTTCCCTATTTGGATCCCCTTTATGTTTGCATCTTGTTCAGACAGCTTTTTAATAGACATTTTGTATGTTTGAAAAGTATATCATCATACTAACAGAGACAGAAGATAAAAAATTATCACTTAAAATTTTATAGTACCTGATGAATTGAGATTAATGATAAGCATGGAATGAGGAGAATGACACTGGTGGCAGGGAAATTCAGTGCCCCCTTAAGAACCCAGATTCAGTTTACAGTGAGCATGCCCCTTGAAAAATGTGTGATTGAATACTGTCTCTTCAAATCTAAAATAAGAATACAAAATTGTTCGATGATAGCACATATAATTTAAAATTGTATATATTTGATTTGATTTACATTTGGGAATTTAATAATGTGTGTGTGCCTTAAAAATTTTTAGTGCTGCATGGTGATAATGAACTAACAAATTATTTTTAGTAACATGTTCCATCAGTAGCTAATAACCTCAGGCTGTTTTGACTCCTTATAGTCACTCTTGGAAGCCCATGATATTGTCGCATCAAAGTGTTACGATTCACCTCCATCAAGTCCAGAAATGAATAATTCTATCAATAATCAGTTATTACCAGTAGATGCCATTCGTATTCTTGGTATTCACAAAAGAGCTGGGGAACCATTGGTGAGTAGACAAATCAATGCCACTTTAAGTCTTAGATATATTTTGTGGTTCAGTCACTACTTTGCTTTTGTCTTTTGTACATATTACTGTGGATTTGAATCCATGTTTCTTTTATCAGATCTGTATATACATACATAGTTGATGTCTTTAAATTTGGTTTAGCCAATGAAACTAAATCAAAGTGAAAAATTAAACTGAGTAGCAAAAAGTTTAAAAGATAAATATTCCATTTCTTCTACTCTTTGAAGAAATGAACTGTTTATTAATAGAGTAACAAAATATGAAAGTTACTATAAAAATATAAAGCATAATGTGATCCTGTGAGTAGTGAAGTTTACTGTTTCTAATGAGTCCTAACAAAGAACAGTGATATAAATAAAAGGAAAAGCCAGGGATAAGCCTATCCGAATGCCAGAATATCTTTACCTACCTCCTCAAGTTTCATGTTATCCTGTGGAAGATAGACTACATACTGATATTGGCCTCATTTTTAGGGTTATCCCTGCCATGGAACTCCCTTTGACAGAGTGGCATAATACATTGTCCCAGTTAAAACTAAGCCAGTAGGATTAAATTATTACCATAGAAAACGTGAGGAAAGTCAGAACAATTCAGTTACCTGGTTTTTATTCGCTTTTATGTACTAATGCATATTTACATATTGATTCTTAATAAAAAATAAATGGCTTTTATTTTTTCATTTTTATTCCTAAAGGGTGTTACATTTAGAGTTGAAAATAATGATCTAGTAATTGCCCGAATCCTTCATGGAGGAATGATAGATCGACAAGGTCTCCTGCATGTGGGAGATATCATTAAAGAAGTCAATGGCCATGAGGTTGGAAATAATCCGAAAGAATTACAAGAATTACTGAAAAATATTAGTGGAAGTGTCACCCTAAAAATTTTACCAAGTTACAGAGATACCATTACTCCTCAACAGGTTGGTAATCAATTTTTTTTATCATATTAACAACATTTTTGTTCCCTTAATCATTCTATTGGATATAATCACCAGTTGCCTTTTTTTCCCTAAAGATCAGAACAGCTGTCTGAATTAATTATTCTAAAGTGGCTTATTTTGTCATGAGTGAATATTTGAATTTTTAAGCAATTAATACTGTTATGAAAGAAATAATGACCTGTCTTTGTAAGCACTAGAAACCCTGTTATTATAGAAGTCTACAGCTAGATATCAGAAAAACCTTAAAACTTTTCATTAGTCATATGAACGTTTTTAACATGCGGTGTTCAAAGTGTGTATTAAGGCTTCTAGATTCGTGTTCCTGTGATAGGAGGCTGATGGAAGAATAAAGCCAGGAGGAAGAATGGATTGAAGAAAATCTTGGACACTTGTCTTTCACACATTTGATCCTGTAGTTTAAGTAAAATAGATAATTGAACTAGGGAATGTTCTAGTGATAGAGACATCACCCTCTATAGTCCAAACCAGAAATGCCATAGCTATGATGAACTTTATAGGAAAAATAAATTCTTGTAATGTTTAATTCTAGGTAGATTTTTGTGTCTGATGAATGAGGTTGCATGAAATGTGTGGATATTTATTTAAGCCTTGGCATAAGCATAAAATTTTCCCCATCTCCTAATTTCTTAATCTCTGTATTTTACTTAGCCTTTGGAGCTGGGAAAGGAGAGGGATGTGTATCTGTGTAAATCTGTGAAGCAGTAGCAGGCTTAGTCTGCCTTAAAAAGAGAAAGGTAAGCCAGGCACTAATGCTCACATCTATAATCCTAGCTAATCTGGAGACCGAGATCTGAAGATCATGGTAGGAAGCCAGCCCAGGCAGGAAAGTTTGTGAAACTCTCATTTAACCAGCAAAAAAAGCCAAAAGTAGATCTGTGATCAACTAGTAGAGCAGTAGCCTTGAACAAAAAAGCTCAAGGACAGTGCCCATGCCTTGAGTTGAAGCCCCAGGAAAAAGAAAAGGTACTCGAACAGAGATAGACTCCCAAAGATAAACTAAGACATATCCAAGGTAGGACTTTTAAAAAATGGACAGGAGAACTCATTATGTTGGAGCATAGGCATAAACCAAGACTGTCCTGGGAAAATCAAGAGTGTGCTATTAACAGAGCCTGTGAGGAAGGAAGGGCATTGAGGCTCTTCAGATCTTTCACTAGCATCCCTGTTGTGTAGTACAGTAGTCTCCTCCCCACCATTGCCCATGGTGATGCTCTCTTCCGTTTCAGTTGACCTTCTGTGGTCAAACACTATTAAGTGGAAAATTCCTGAGGTAAACAATGCATAAATTTTCAGCTGCACACCATTCTGAGTCATGTAATAACTATCGTTGAGTACTGCTCAGGATGTGAATCATTTGTCCAGTGTATCCATGCTATATACACTCCCTGTCCATTAATCTCTTAATATCTATCCACTTTGTCTATCATGATAATGTGAGTGTGTAGGTTAACCTTATTTTGCTTAATAATGGCTCCAAAGCTTAAGAGAAACACATAGGCAAAATCAGAAGCCATAGTACTTCTTCCTTATAGTGCAAAGGAGAAAGCTCTCAATTAAAAAATTTTTTCCTAGACTGCTAAAACCTATAATAAGAATAGGACTTTTGTCCATAAGATAATGAAAGAAATAAAAGCTGGTTTTACGGTATAAGTGTCAGTGGCTCATACCTATAATCCTAGTTTCTTGGGAGACTTAAGATCTGAGGATTGTGGTTGGAAGCTAGCCCCAGCAGGAAAGTCTTTTATCCCCAGTTAACCACCAAAAGCCAGAAGTGGAGCTGTGGCACCATTTGAACAAAAAAGTTTGAGTAAAAAGCTCAGAGAGCTCAGAGAAAGGCCCCTGAGTTCAAGCCCCAGGACTGGCACCAAAAAGAAAAAATTAGTTTTACTGTCTCGCCTTAGAGCAAAAGTTATGGCCAAATTACATGTTAAGGGCTTAGTTCAAATGGAAAATTCATTAAATTATGAACTTTGGTAGTATTTGAGTTTTAAAGACCATGGAAAAAGTGAGTATCTCCATGTTGCCTCTCAAATCTCTTGCTCGGATTGCTGTGAGAACAGAGGGAAGCCCGGAGCATTCTTTTCGGGTAGTTTTTCAAAGGATGTCAGTAAATCAGCTTAAGGTCGGTGTTTGTTTTCTGTCACTGTGACAAGTACCTGAAAGAATAATTTAAAAGGAAGAAAGATTTATTTTGCCTCATAGTTTGAGAGATTTCAGTCCATGATTCTTTGGCACCATTGATTCTGGTCTGTGGTAATACAAAACATCACATCAGAAAGACATGAAAGGAACAAAGTTGCTCATCTCATGGGGCCCAGAAGCAGAGAGTCAAACAGGAACAGTTCAGGGCAAGATAAACTCTTCAAGAACAAGCTCTCAGTGCCTGTTTCCTCCTGCCTCCCTACCTTCTAATAGCTCATTCAATATGAATTCATTAGTGAATTAATCATTGACAAGGTGCCCTTGTGGTGATCCAGTCATCTTTCCACTATCTGACCATCTGGACTGAATATCCAGCACATGAACTTTCTCGATAGAAATTCTTTTAACTCATTTTTTAAAACCATCGAAATCTAGATACCAAAGAAATGACAGGTCTCTTTCATTCAAGGATATACATGAAACAATTCGTAATAAAATATCAGCAAATCTGAGAATGATAATACCATCTCCAAATGGATTTATTGCAGGTATGCTAGCACAGATTTTCATTAGAAAAATCCATATATAGGCAGATTAATAGCTTCCATAGAGAATTTGATAAATTTTAATACCTATTCATGTTTTTTAAGATTAATAAACTAGGAACAGGAGGTAATCTCCTTAACATTTTTTTTCAAAAACACACTAAAATGAAGACATTCTTAGGAGTAGCTTATGTTAGAAGCTCTCCCTTTAAAATCAGAAAGTAGATCTGCTATTCTACTGAAGACCTTAAGTGCCAGCTGAAGCCCTATTTCCCACAAAATAAAGAGCCCATCATTAACCAAGAGACTTGCCCACTGTCAGTCCCAATCTTCCACTGGTAAAAGGAATTGCCCACAAATGGTAAGTCCTAAAGTATTTTTTTGTAAATGACAGTACAGATCTTCAGTTCTTAAAGAAATTAGGAATGAAGCGTGTCTCATGTTAAAGGGGATAAAGACCAGCAGCATTCAGACAACTCTGGCAACCAAACTCAAACCATTCCCAGTCATGCTGAAACAAAGCAGCTGACAGAAATGTCACCCAGGATCTTAAACCATCTTGGCACTGACAAGCTTAAGGACACTGGCAGAAGCTGGATGGAAAAGCACCACTTGCTACTGCAGAAGGAGGGTGATCTCTTTCAGAATTTTGATGAGGTTTTAAACAATGAAACAAACAATTGATTCAACTTCTAAAAAAGTAAAATTTCAACTTTTTTACTATCTTTAATTTTTAAGTAGAATATGAAATATACTACCATCTTTTGTATTTAAAATTCAAGGACCCTTGTATGCTGCTACTTTTAAATTATTGCTTATATCAATTATTTGTTTTCTATCTTTGAGGCAGAAAAGCAGTAGCTTATTAATGGTAAGAGCTAGGTTATTGTGGTGAACTAGCTGATGATTAATGTTATTACCAATTTGCAGCTGTTACGAGTAAATTTACTATAGACATTTAAATGTAATTCTCTTGAGTAAATACAAGTTGGATGATTGTGGTGGATATATGTTGAAATTTTTTTTAAATGAATGATTTTCAAAAACAGGTCTTCCAATTTACATTCCCACCGATATTGTATGAGAGGGAGTCACTTTACATCATCATTGTAGTTAGTATCATCGGTCTTTTAGTATTACAGTAAATACACAGTATTATCTCATTGTGATTTTAATTTACAGCATTTTCAATATTTGTGTTCAGTAATGAGTATTGAATTATTTGTCTTCTTGTTTAAAGTGTTCTTTATGTATTCTGATACAAGTACTTCATCAGTATTGTGATTTGCAGAGATATTCTCTCATTCTGTGACATTTCTTTCATCAGTGTCATTCAAAAAGTACAAATTGATCAGTTTTTCCTTTTATAAACTGTGTTTTCATAAGAAATTATATGTGAGAAAGATTTTCTTCTATAATTTTATGAGTCGGTTGGTGCTTTACCTCTAGATATATGATACATTTACTCTTCATTTTGATATAAGGCATGAAGAAAATATCTGACTTGGTATTTTTACTTTGTCTCTCTCTTTTTTTTGCCGTAGATATCCAATTCTTACTGTAGCTCTGCTTAGTTTTCCATGTTGGATAGTTTTTTAGTGGGTTATGGTAGTGCATGCCTCTAATTCCAGTTCTCAGAAAGCTGAGACAGGATTGGGAGTTTTATGGTCATTCTAGGCTACTTAGTAAGACCTGTTTCAAAAAAAAAAAAGTTCACTCATCTTTCTTCTGCAATTTACAAAAGAAATATAGTTAGTAAAATTGCACCTGATTTTTTTAATGTGTGTTTTTGTGCTTGCCTGCTTGCTTTTATATCTGACATTTTGGTTTATTTAAGTTCAGATTGAGTCTTTTTTGTTTTGAGGTAGTTCTCTAGCTCGGGCTAGCTTTGAACTCAAGATCCATCTGCCTAAGTATGCTGAGGACTAGGATTATAAATGTGAACCACCATGCCTAGCTGAATGATGGCTATTTTTTAATTAGGATTCTTAAGCTTCATCCTAGGATTCAGTTAGTTTACTTGGGAAAAGTTTCATCTTTGAGATCTCGCTCCTTAAACTTTTAATACCACAGCAAGGGAAGTCTAGGGCATAAACTTTCAAAGTGCCTCTACTCAATATCATGAATTAGGAGGTTTTTCTATTCAACCTGGTATAAAGAGAAGATGTTCTTAACCTACATGATCTGATTGTTTCCCTATTAAGACTTTCAAGTGATTGTTTTGTTTTTTTTTTTGGTTGGTCATGGGGCTTGAACTCTGGGCTTGGGCGCTCTCCCTGCGCTCTTCAGCTCAAGGCGAGCACTCTACTGCTTGAGCCACAGTGCCACTTTCGGTTTTCTAGTGATTTATTGGCGATAAGAGTCTTGCCGACTTTCCTGCCTGGGCTGGCTTTGAACTGAAATCCTCAGATCTCAGCCTCCTGATTAGCTAGGATTGCAGGCGTGAGCCACCGGCACCCAGCTCAAGTGATTCTTAAAGTGTCAAGAGGAAAGAGCTCTGTGATCAATCAGTGCACAGCTGAACTAAGTCCCCGTGTTTCTGTCTCTGAAACTTTCCTCACTGGCACTACTGTTCCATGTACTGTGGCCACCTGATCCTCCCTGTGGCTACCTGATCCTCCCTGGTCTCCCAGTTCATTTTCTCAACTTGAAGCTCACCGGGTTGCAACATGATTTTTTTCTTCCTGAGTTGTAACCTGGAAACTTTTCTCAGCATGGCTCATCTTGCTTGATTCCATGTTTGCCTTATCTGATCTTGGATCTATAGTCTTGAGACATATTGTTTTATATGTACAAAGGTCAACTTTTTAGATATCTTAGGTGAGAAGGTCCTTGATACTTCATCTAAGTCTGAAAGAAGAGTTTTTTATTATTAATACTATAATGATATTAATTTTGAATAAGTGAATCCCATGATTCAGATATCAAAAAATATAAATATATTTTCAGTTGTCTCTGATTCTTTTCTAGTACAACCTTGTCTTCGCTGTCCCAGTAAGAAAAAAGAAAATATGATATTAGTTTCTCTTCCAAAGCTTCTTTTTTTTGGTGGTGGGGGGGATGCCAGTCATGGGGCTTGAACTCTGGGCTTGGGACACTGTCCCTGCGTTCTTCAGCTCAAGGCAAGTGTTCTACCACTTGAACCACAGCTCCATTTCTGGATTTCTAGTGGTTTATTGGAGATAAGTCTCATGGACTTTCAGATCTCAGCCTCCTGAGTAGCTAGGATTATAGGCATGAACCACCTGTGCCTGGCCCCAAAGCTTCTTTATTCTTATTCCCCTTTTCCATGAAAAATTTTTATAGTGCAAATGCTACTTTGAACCTTTTTTCAAGTAGCTATGTAGCTTAAGAATCTTATCACTACCTAATATTCCAAATGGACATTTTTTTAGCATTGACTATTTAAGCAGATTGCTTCTTTAGTTATTAGGAATAGTTCAGTAGTTAATAGTTTCATAAGTAGTCACTTTGCACCTTAGCTGAGTAATATAGCTGTTGAATTCATTCTAAGAAATGGATTATAGGTTAGGGGGGTTGCGTTAGTAATCTTGATGATCCTATTATCTAATAGTCCTCTCAAGAGATTCAGTGAGTCCTTCAGAGCCTGTTAGAAAAGTGCCTATAGGAAAATAGTAGAGTCCTATTTACAGAATGTCAATTATTTTGATTTTTGTAATCAGATAGGAAATAAAACATTATCCTAATATAATTTAGTTTTTCTACTTTTGAGTGAGGCTGAACATGTTTGTTTAAAAACTACTTGTATTTCCTTTTCTGTTCTATTCTAAATTCTTGGTCATTCTTTAGTAAGAATATGAAATTGCAATTCATAACCTAATAGTGAAACACTGTAATATACACTTCATAAAACATAATTGTACTAAATCTAGCCAACTCCTATTTCAAAGTCATTACAAAATTCCAAGGTGAAAGGTTAGGTTAATTGATTTTTCAGATAGATTTACCAAAGCAAAGCCAGATTAATCTGAGTTTTTTGAGCACAGGGGTAGTGCTTTAAAAGTTGTTGATAAATAATTTTTCTTCTTGAAATCTTTTATATATGATAGATGTCGTTTGTATTCTTATAAATAATAACATGTCCTGAACAATATAAAGGGAGCCAGGTAACTGATACTTGAAATTTGTGTAACTTTATGGTTGCAAAATGTCTTGTCTCACATAAAAAGACTGATAAACAGATCCAAGCCAAGGCCACATTTATGGTCCACAAATCAGTGCATCTTCCTAAGTGAGGCGAGTATTGGTCTTTTTATGACTTTGCATGCCTCCCTTTTCTTTGCCTCATCTCAAATGTTTCCAACTTGTTTCTATTATTTACAATTTGCAGGCATCATAACCTTGGGACAATTATAGGGAGGTAGATTTTTTTAATTTCAAATTTTATTTTTCATTAAATAATTACAAAAGGATTTTAGTTCACCATTGTTGATTTGTGAACTAGTGCATCTTGATCAGTACCACCCCTCCATCATTCTGCCCCCTCTGTCTGTCCCCACCCTCCCACATATCAAGTTACTTGTTTCCATTTTCACATATGTACATTGATATTACAATTGAATTCAACCACCACTTCACTATATCTCTGTCTAAATGAGAGTAGTAATATAAGTGTGTAAGATACAGTGGGCCAGTAATTTATAGCTTAGTTTATTATGATTTAAAAATCTGGCTTTATTTATGCAATTAAAATATATATTTCTAGAGTTGCATCAATATGGAGAGGCAACCAGCACGCATCCGGCAGGTATGATATTCTAAAATAATCTCCGGTTTTCAGTTTTCTTGTCTTATTAGTCAACTAAATTTACATTGATTAGATTCAGTTATTTTGGATTTTTCTCACTGTCAAAACATTGAGCCTGCATGCTACTGTGAAATTAGCCAACTATCACATTTTAGCAATTTTAATATTGTTTGTATGCTTGCTTAGTAGATATTTCTGAAACTATATATTGGGAAACAATTATTGCCTTACTGGTTGTTTTAAGCATTCATTTTTTTTTTACCCTTTACAAAGTAACTGTAAAACTTCACAATGTTTTTTTGTTAGAATCACTTAATTGTAAATAACTAAAATTTTATGACATGCTCCCAGATTGTACTTTTAAATAATTTCACAAGGCATTGGTCATCAGTTTTTATTATACTAATAATGCAATGTATCTGCTTATGCTGTTTGAATAGATTGTTTGATTAGTTATAGAAGTGTGATAAATATGCAAATAACATTGTTAGTTTGACTAATTGTGTACTTTCCTGCATACTAACATTTACTTGCTGATTAATAGTGACTGTTCTTTAGAAGATAAAATTTGAATTTTTATGAATACATGTGAAACCAGGTTAATTCCAACAGTTCGCCATCAAATGTTGACAGCACTTATGTAGGATTCAGTTAAAGTGAATAAGCAAAATATTCCAGCTATTGGAGATCTGAAATAACAGTTGTGACTGATTTTAATTTTACTTTTATTAATAAACAAGACTGAAAGATGTAAATGTTTAAATGACTTGAAATTGGAAAATATTTAGAAGTCTTTAGTATTTGTCTTCACTCATTTAATGCTGTTATTTAAATTTAAGTTATGAAAATCAGAATGAGTTCAACAGGTTGTTTTTATATTTTAGCCAGTAAAAATCTTTAAAAATATTACTAGAGGGGAAAGTTGAGTTTTTAACTTTTTCTAAAGGTTATTAAATATATTTCAGGTCTGATTACATATGAACTTGTATGTTTGATTTTGGATTCAGGTTACCTTCACCTAACATATCTGAAATACATTCCTTATATTAGCTACATATATTATAGGATGTTAGTTGGAAAGTGTATTTATTTATATTAAAAAGTATTCAGTTGGTTGGAAAATCAAGTGAGAAGGCTGCGGAGGTAAAAGAATGATGGATTAGAATGATTATCAAACTGTTGATTAAAGATGAGAATTTAAAATACAAACAAACAAAGCATTAGTGCTTCTTATTTGGTAATGCCAAATTCTATTAATATTCTAACAATTTGATTTTTTATTTGTGAGAAACAGTTGTTTATCTGAAGTACTATATATATCATAGTGACTTGAAAAGGATTTTAAAATCCAATGGCAAATGATACAAGTGTGGTACTTTTCATTGTGCTGTGTGTTTTAGGTATTTGTGAAGTGTCATTTTGATTATAATCCATACAATGATAACCTGATACCCTGCAAAGAAGCAGGACTGAAGTTTTCCAAAGGAGAAATTCTTCAGATTGTAAACAGAGAAGACCCAAATTGGTGGCAGGTTAGTATGCTTCTCAAAAGTTCCTCAACTGCTTTTCTATTTTTAATCTTAGATCTGGCCAGTATCTGAATATACAGGAAGAAGGTATTAGCATTTGTTCCAATGATTTTTCCCGCATGAACAGCTCCTGCTTCATGGCTACTAATTTTGATGACAGAAGACCAAATTGAGAGGGAATTTGTGAGTAGCTGTTAATAAATGCAGAATTAACCCACCTGTGGTACTATCCCCTTGGTTTAGGCATTAGACTAATTGATTCTTACACATGGATGATTGCGTTAAAATATGGCATCAGACAAGAAGAACCTGCTTGGGGTCATCCCTTGTCAATGTTTGGTTTTGGTTTGTTTTAACTAAGAATTTGTTATAGTAGATACAGCAGTCTTTATCTTGTGTGTGTACGTTCATGGCAAGTAAAGCATAATTTCTCAAGCCCTTAAATCTACCCACTTCTTCCTATTATTGTTTTTGTATTTGTTCCTATCACCAAATAACTACAATATTTAGAATTGGAGAAACTGGTAATAACAAAATCTGTAATCTTTTAAGCTATCAAAACAAATGGTAGTATCATTAGAGAATAAGATGTAAGAAGGAAGGACCATGGACAAACTTCAGAATTAACTGAGGTACTGGCAACTCATGTTAGCACTATTGTGTTACATATTAACTTCTTTTTTCTTGTTTTTGTTGGTCATGGGGCTTGAACTCAGGGCCTGCTCGCTTTCCCTGAGCTCTTTTGTTCAAGGCTAGCACTCTACCACTTTGAGCCACAGTATCACTTGCAGTTTTCTGGTCATAAATTGGAGTCTCAAATATTTTCCTCCCTTGGCTGGCTTTTTGAATGTCAGTCCCCAGGTCTCAGCCTCCTATTGTATGTTGACCTCTAAGGGGAAATGATTCCCATATTGAGGAGAGTCTTACTAGTACGTCTTAAGTTAAGACCATATTGGTACAAAAATTAACAAGTAGGCAAATTGGAGTTCATAATTTTGATAGCTTTCCACTGAATTTCTTAATACTCTCTTTGTTAAAATCTGCTTTCTGTGGCTATTTTGATTTTTTCCCCAGTTTTCCCTTTTTTCATTTTCTGTAAATTCCATTCCTTTGTTTTCTCTTCTAAGTCAGTATTATCTCCATTTTGATAGCCTTTTGCTTTAATTCTAGTGTTCAGGATTGCTACAAATAAGACCAGATTTTCTATGCCAGTTGTTAAGGATGAAGACACTAATTTAAACCTCTAACAATCAGTTCTCTAGCAGTCAGTAACTATCACTTACTTTAGTTTTATTTAAAAATATTTTGGCACTAGAAGAAGTTTTGGCTATTTGATTTTACTACCTCCTAAAATATCCAGATTTCTCTTAGGATAATAAAAATTTACACTCTAAGCTAGGCCTGGTGGTACATGCCTATAATTCTAGCACTTGGTAGGGGCAGGAAATTCAAATTAAAGGCCAAAACCTTAGTTACATAGCAAGACTTTGTCTCAAGAAAATAGGAAAAAAGAAAAGAAAATACTAACCTCTACACTGTCCTCCCAGCATTGGCGTTTTTCGTTATTTGCCCCAGGAAATACCAGTAATAGTGAGATCTAGGTTCCTTGTACATATCTTATTAACAGTATTAGATGAAATGTCTGCTTAGCATATATTGTAGAAAGCATATAATCCTTCCTTTTCTTTTACAAACTTAATAATTCAAATTTTAGTAATTTACAGAGCCTGTATAACATAATAGTTTCAGTCCTTTGCTATTAGAATATATATATATATATATATATGTATATACATATACATATATATATATGTATATGTATAAAGAATTTTAGGTGCCAGTTAATTCAAGTGTTTAAATAGCTTAACCATGGATTTTTAACAATTGTTTCTAAGAGGAAATGTGATTTTTTTAAGCTGACGATTGCTTGTTCTGTTACTAGAATATGGTCTTAAAATTTTGGTCACTGAAATATATGACTCATTAATTTGATTTTAGGCTAGCCATGTGAAAGAGGGAGGCAGTGCTGGTCTCATTCCAAGCCAGTTCCTGGAAGAGAAGAGAAAGGCATTTGTTAGAAGAGACTGGGACAATTCAGGTAATGAAGTCCACACATTTTAGTATTTAGTATTCACTTTTCTTTGTCTAAATATACAAATGCATTTCTTTAAAACATAAGTAGATATTGCCCCTCCTATCTACTTTCTTTTCTGAAACTGTGTGTGTATGTTTGTGTGTGTGCGCTCCTGATAGCACCTTACGTGCCCATCTTGAAACATCTTTTTTATCCTTTTTGCCTATTGGTAGAGTAACCTCAGTACCCTGCTACCCTCGGGAGCTTAGGCATTCTGCCCCCATAACATATCGTTTATCATATTTTTGATAGATTGTTTAAACTATATTGGTCTTATCCTCAGGACCTTTCTGTGGAACCATAAGTAGCAAAAAAAAGAAAAAGATGATGTATCTCACGACCAGAAATGCAGGTAGGTTTTAAGTACTTTTAAATGTTCTTTTGAGTGGTCTAAGTAGCTTTATATCATCAATTTAAATGGTACAAATTCTAAATACATAATTTAATAAAAATTTAAAATAATACATTTTAGATTGGTACCCAGTTGCAAGTGTGGCATATGAACACATCGTAAAATATAAGATAAATTATTTAAATCTCAAGTTTGAAGCCAACCTAGGCTACATAGGACGACCTTCAATCTCAAGAAAATAGTGAAATATAATTTTATACTGATATTGTGTAATACTGCATGGGCCTTACTTTGCGAGTATAGTTAACAAAATAACTTGGTTAGGATTTATGCTTGTTCAGTGTAAGGCACTGTAGTAAATACTGAAACTATTTTTTTCACATTTTCATATGAATTTATTCTTTTATTTTTTCAAATTCTTTATTGTGATTAAGTGATTACATAATTTCCCAAATTTCACAATATTGTGGGATAGTGATGCTTAGTTAAAGTCACAAACACGTTCTAGCTTTCATTGGGCAGATTGTCTATTGTAGTCTATAACATTTATGAGTTCTGTGAGATTTGCAATAGTTATTTCTTCCACATTGGGTGATATGTACATTTTTTTTGTTTTGCATAGTGTCAGCTCTTTCCTCTTTCCCACTCGTTCCCTCCCTCCCTCCCATTGCTGCCCTTGAGTTGCTTAGTTCATTTTGGTCAATGTCCAGTGCAGCTGATGGGTCCTGCTGTTGTATGTTTTCCCTGATTCCCTCTAGTTCTGTGTCGTCTTCCTGGTTTCCCTCCAGTGTGCACATATATACCATATATGTGATCAGCAGCATAGGGTTATTTAGTAGTGATTCGACCAGATGAGTGGAAGTCCTTTGTTTCTTAAGCCTTGTTAATTTTGTCATATCACCTTGTTTTGGATTTAACATCCACTTATCAGGGAGACCATGTGCCATTTCTCATTCCTCTTGGCTAACCCCGCTCAACATGATTTCTTCTAGCTCCATCCATTTCCCTGCAAATGCCATTATTTTGTCCTTTCTAATGGCTGCATAATATTCCTTTGTGTATAGATACCACAATTTTTGGATCCATCCATCTGTGGTGAGACACCTGGATTGTTTCCATCCTGGCTATTGTGTGAAACTATTTTTTCAGAGAATTTTAAAACAGTAATTTTATGTGCCATTTCTAAAAGACAGAATGCCTTTATGAATAATTTTAATTATGATTACGGACAGCGGTCCCATAGCATTGTTTATGCAACTTTTGGAAAAATAGTACTAGACCAAAGGAATCTTAGTCTCATCATAGGATTCTTTCTTAAACTTTTTGGTGTATATATTTTTAAGATTTTTTTTAAAAGAAGGAAATAGTAACCATGTAAGGTAATATGTTAATTATCTTGTTTATAAGATCACAGTGCATTCATACATTAGAACATCAAGTTGTATAGTTTTTAAGTATATCCATTCCTATTTGTCAATTATACTTAAAACCTGAAAAGCCATTTTAAAAAAATTAAAATCACAGACCAAGGAGGTAAGGGTATAGCTTAAAATTAGAATCTGTCTTAAATAGGAAGGAAAAAAAGGAGAGGGAGGGGAAAAAGAAGAGGGAGGGAGAGGAGGAAAAGAGGAAGGAGATAATTGTGGAAATCACCATATTAAAATGGGAAGGGGAAACAAAGGAGGAGGCTACAATGCTTGATAAGAAATGTACTCATTATCTTGCCCATGTAATTGTAACCCCTCTGTACAGTATTTTCACAATAAAAAAATAAAAATACAAAAAAATAAAGTATTTCAGTTCTACACTGTTAATAAACTAAAGAATGGAATATTTTTTAATTAGAAATGACTAGTATTAAAGGAGATGATACCAGTATGCTGTTTGTACACATTTTATACAATATTTCAGAAGGACATACTCATTTGTGCACCTTAAGTATGCTCTTGTCCTCCAGGCTCAATAGATGCTTTTTAGAGTAACCCTCATAAGATGTTCTGTATTTTATTTGTATATATTGATAATAAGGAGCTGTGAATGACTAGAATATTTGGTAAATTAGGGTAAAACATAGAGATTTTTCTAGCTTGATTAGATAAAATTTTAAGGGCAAGGGCATGGAAGCAGGTATATAAACCTGAAGATAAAATTTATTGTACCTCACCAAATTTACAAAAACTGATTAAGGCTTCATGTGAAGTGATACTTAACAATCAAGACAAGGAAACCATTATCAAAATAGCAGAAGTCTTTTCATGTATAGAAAAGGAAACAATCTAATTTTTTCTGTTTTGTTTCTCATTTAGAATTTGATCGTCATGAAATCCAGATATATGAAGAGGTTGCCAAAATGCCCCCCTTCCAGAGAAAAACGCTAGTATTGATAGGAGCTCAGGGTGTGGGCAGGCGAAGCTTGAAAAACAGGTTCATAGTACTGAATCCCAGTAGATTTGGAACTACGGTGCCATGTAAGTGTTGTGTGTTTTCTGTTTATTGTCAGGAAAGAGTGTGGGCATGGAGGTAGAGGAATTCTTATTACTTGTTATTTTAAGTAAATTAAAATTTGATTATAAGTAAATAGAGGAGAAGCAACACTTGAAAAATTCAGTAATCCTATACCTGTATTTGTTGTAGCTTGCTCTCTGATAACAATTAACTCTCCAAGACTATTTAACCTAAAAATATTAGAGTTAAATGCAAAGAGTCAAAGGAGAAAGCCTACTAAATCCTCAGACACACTCTTAGTCAGTGTGGCAATAGCTTAGGCCTGTCTCTCAGTCCTGCAAGTTCATATTCCTAAATTTTGATTGCACATTAAGAGCAATTTGTCCTCCACAGCAGATACCATTCATTAAAAGCACAGATTGATAAGTAAAATGAGATAGTATAAATGAGATAGTATTCATGAAAGGTATAGCCATTAAGGAAATCAAGCACACATGATTTTTGCCTTTTTTACCTTTTTTTTGCATATGTGGAAAATAAAATGATAGAAATATGATTAGACTGGAATTAGAATGGTATCATTGACATTGCGGTGATAACTACACATTTGTCTCTTGGCTCTGGGATGCATAAGCCTTTGCTATGCAAGCCAGTGTTGCCTTTGTAAGTCCCTTTTTTGGGCTTCCCCTTTAACACTATTCTTTTGGATCTCTTAATGCCTATATTTCCCCTATGGAAGGCAGCATTCTTTTTAAGATTTAATCATCAGTAAATAAGCAGCCTGTTGCTAAACTTACCAGCAGTTTGGAGAATAAGCTTGTGTACCCTCTGGTGTACTTACAGCCCCTCAGGTTAAAACTTTCCTTTCCATTGTCTACCCTGCCAATTACTGAATTCAGATAAGTAGTTAACAAAATAAAACTTCACTTTGACCAGAGTATTTTAAGGTTTAAATGTGAAAAAAAGAAAAAAGTTTATTTTTATCAACTAATATGTGCATAATACATTTAGCAACTAATTCTTAAAGACATATCATGGAAAAAATAATGGCCTGTCTTTCTAGACTACATCTGACCCACTTAGCAGAACATTTGCTTTTCATTCTTCATGCTGTTTCTTTTGGTAGTTTTCCATATCTCTTCTTAGTGTGTTTATTCTGCTATTTCCTGCTTTATCCAGTTCTGATTTAACTATTGACTTTCTTACTACTCTTAAGATATAAAGATAATTTTATTTTGACTACTCTTTATTTTAAAAAAAAAAAATTATTGTTGGGGCTGGGAAGTTGGCTCAGTGGTAGAGCGCTTGCCTTGCATGCCTGAGGCCCTGGGTTCGATTCCTCAGCACCACATAAGCAAAAAGAAAAAAGCCAGAAGTGGCACTGTGGCTCACATGGTAGAGTGCTAGCCTTGAGCTGAAGAGCTGAGGGACAGCGCTCAGGCCCAGAGTACAAGCCCCACGACTGGACCCCCAAAAAAAATTATTGTTATTATAAAAGTGATGTACAGAGGGTTAGTCAGGTAGAGAGTACTTTTATTTTTGGACAATGTCATCCCTCCTCACACTCTGCCAGTTTTTCCTTCCCATTCCTACCTATAAGTTGAGTAGTTCATTTTCAATGTAGTGTCTAGTGAGTACCATTTGAATAAAAAGTTTTAAAACTAAACACATATACCTGAGCATGATGGCATAGTATTATAGTCCCAGTTACTCAAGATGCTGACACAGGAGAATTCCTTGAGTTCAAGACAAGCCTTAAGACAAAGCTGTCTCATGTGTTTTGACTACTCTTAAGATACAACGATAACTTTATTTTCAGTTGGTTCAACTTCATGAATAGTCTTCCCTCCACCTAGCAACCCATAGAGGTTTTTTGTTTTTGATTTTCTTTTTCTCTTTACTTGACTTTTATGTGAATGGATGTTATAATTCTTTGTTGTTGCTCTCTGAACCAAAATGTATTTATCCACTAAGTCATTCTTGTCTCAGAATCCTGTGTGTTCCATGCCCAGCTGTTAACACTGGAGCATTTCCTTTTGATCTCATATTGGGTTGAAGCTGTCATTCATGGATATCCTTTTTTAGAGGGGAAGAAGTAGGACTAAAGTTTGAACAACTTGCTAGGCAGGCATTCTACCACATGCAAGCCGTTCTTTATATTATTTTGGGGATCGGATCACACATTTTTATCTGAGTCTGACCTCAAACTATGATCCTACTACTTTTGTCTTCTGCTTAGCTTAGCTTATAAATGCCTGCCACCATGCTCAGTTTATTGGTTGAGATTGGGGTTAGGGATCTCATTAACTTAGTTGCCTTGAAACTAAATTTTCTCAATCTTTGTTTCCCAAGTAGCTGTGACCATAAAAGCATGTCATCAGACTAAATCCCCAGAAATGCTTTCTATTTCTTGCTTGGTTTATTGCCATTTTCCCTGCTGGGTTTGTCTCAATAGAACTGTGTAGAATATAATTTTATTATCTGCATTTTAAGGGGTATGTTTTCTACCCTCAGTTTAGTTGATTGCTTAGCTGAGAATAGAAATTTTGGCTTATAAAACTTAAAAGATGTTATTCCTGAATCCAGTTCTGTTGAAAAATTAATGTCCTTCTAGTTCTTATTTTCTCAGATTTTTCTTTTTTTAGGGGGGTCCGATCGTGAGGCCTGAACTCTGGGCCTGGGTGCTGTCCCTCAGTTCTTTGGGTCAAGGCTCTACCACTTGAGCCACAGCACCACTTCCAGCTTTTTTCTTTTTGCTTATGTGGTGCTGAAGAATCGAACCCAGGGCCTCAGGCATGCAAGGCAGGCGCTCTACCACTGAGCCACCTTCCCAGCCCCTCAGATTTTTCTTTCACAGATATTTAAGCTCCATTGTTTTACTATTTTTCAAAGTATTCTAAAATTTTATTAATACATCTAAATGCTGCATCTTTTTTCATTTACTGTGATGATTGGTGAACATAGCAAGCATGAAATTCATGTTTTCAGTCCTGGACAATTTTCTTATTATTTCTTGGTTGATTTTTCCCTGTTTTCTTAAAGATTCATTAGCCTGAGATATTGGACATCCTGAATTCTCTTCTCAGTCTGTACGTTAAGGGAGAAAAAAACCCAACACATCATCTGTGCTTTCAGAGTTTGGATTGGTTTTGTTTTGCCTTTTGAAAGATTACTTTAACAATCAGTATTTATCTTTTTTTTTGTTTTCTTACCTCTGTGTTGTGTATCTTTTTCTTTCCTATTCCTTTTTTCTTTTTTTCTGTTATGCTAGCTCTTCTGTACCTTTAAGAATTCTAAATATAGTACTTATTTTTTAAATACTTGCATAGGCTACAGTCTCTGGTTGTTTCTCCTGGTTATTGTTGTTGTTCCTATTTGCTCATGGTAGATCTGTTTTTCCTTTTATGCTGGACTGATCCCAGATTGTATATCTAGACTTAAAAGTAAAACATTAGAACCAGTGATACAGTTCTGTATGCTTTGGGGTAAGTCTTGCCAGTTGGCTGAGCTTTATTTTAGCGAAGAGATAAGGAATTAGCTGCTTTACTGGAAGAGCGCAAAATATTTGTACAAGAAATTTTATTTTGTAATTGTTGCATTTTTCCAGATAATAATCCTGTTCCTCAGCAGGATTATTATTTACTGAAGATAAAGAAGGGAATAAGATGCAAATTACTTGCTCTATATGCACAATAAGTCCCTCTCAATTGTAAGTTTTATACTAAAAATCTCTTCAAGGTTCTTTTGGAGTAAATCCACTTTGTAACTCCCTTTCTGCATCTTTATGGCTTCTGCCTGAACAACTATTGTTGTGTCTCATGAACTTTTTGTATGCTGTGATTTTGTTTTCATTCATCTTATTCTCTGTCCATTCTTTCTCAAAAATAGATTAAAAATAAATGGATTTTGTGGTCCATTTTTCTCTTCACATAGATGTCTACAGGGATTTTTAAACTGTTAATCTAGGAATATACAACTGTGCAACACAGATTAATTAGCCAGATCTAATAATAAACTGTTTTCTCACCATTACTATCGTGTTGCAACCCTTCATCCCTTCAAAATGACACTTAACCTTACCTGAACAGTTACGTGGGAGAAGTTATGTAGGGGAACTAGAGACCTACCTTGTTGGCCAGAAGTAAAAGAAAAGAAAAACCAGCCACTCCCTGGGTTTTTAACCGAGTGATTACTTTGTCATGTCCTCTTCTTTTGGTGCTGTTCTTCAGCCCATCCACAGTAGCTGTCAGTAGATTTCCATTAGCCACGTGATGCTTGCTCAGGTCATTGGAACTTACCACAGTGCTAACCATTTTCCCATCAGTACTTCCTAACACACTCAAGGCAAACAGGCCTTTCCTTCTTTAGGGTTATGGACAGGCTGCCCAACAGCTAGATCTCTTGGGGTCTGGGCAGCTCCATCAGTAACTGTTCATCAGGCAACACCATCTCCATCTCAAAGTAATTTTTAAATTTGCTTATGATTTGTGATTTTTACCAATAGGTTATTTAGAAGAATATATCACTTGCGCTCCACATGCTTTTTTAAAAATTATTTGACTGCACTTGGTCACCTTCCCTCTACTCATATGCCATATATTGTTAAATTTTTACTATTTCCCCTAATATTGATAACAATTTCATGGTGGTTATAGAACATGTGTGATCTTATTTCTCCTAAATTTATAGAGAATTGTTTTATGTCTTGGAGAATAGTTTCATGTGCACTTGGGGAATATATGTATTCTGTTGCTCATTGGATATCTGTCAATTCTAGTTGGTTATATTTTTCAAGTCTTTTATTTCCTCTTAATTTTCTTTTATTTCCTTTAACTATTTGTTCTCTCCACCATTGAAAGTATGGTGTTAAGGTCTTCAGCTATTTGGGGTTTGCATATTTCATCCTTCAGTCCTGTCAGGTATTTCAGGAGTTTGTTGTTAGAGGAATACTTGCTTATGGTTGTTTCATCTTCTTGATAAAATATTCCTTGTTCCTATTAACTTTTTTTTGTCTCAAAGGCTA